GCCAGAGATGTTCTATAGGRTTTAAGTCTGAGCTGAACGACTCCCTCTCCAAAACTTTTACAGAAATTTCATTAAAAAACTTTGGTGTCAACTTAACATATCATATTATAGCATACGTGAATTGTTAGCTTCCTTATAACAGGAAAATTTTCCTCAGCCCATGGCAACATGCCATTTTTTAGCATGCCGACGTTTTTCTCCTTGTTTAAAATTCAATCAATCTTATGGAATAGACCTACACTACTTCAGATCCTGAGTGCTGCCTTGTCGTGAAGTCCAGATTCGACCAAACGCCGGGCAATTGTTCTCTTAGATATTTGCAGAATATATTCGTCTTGAACTTCACGTAGAATTTCTGCGGTATATTTCTGTAGAAGTTTTAGCTGCGAAGGGTAGGTGTACAGCTGCAGCTTTTCCTCATTAAAAACTTGAATAACACATTTTAAACCACAACTCTGAAACACACCCTTACTATTAATCAATAATATTATTAATAAAAATTAACATCTTGAGGAATTTTTATTCTTTAAACAACTGTTTCTAATTAGCTGTCGCACTTAATTCACCTTCTATATCGTAACGCATTTACTATCTGGGAATAAATTTAAAGAACTTTAACTTCTCAACTACAGAACAGAGTGAATTTAGTAGTAAATAGAGTTACACGAACAATGCAAGACTTTCAGGAATATAAATAACGGTATATGAAAAATTGTTTTCATTATACTCATCAACCACCTACAAAGAAGGGAGCTTTCTAATTAGCTGTCAACAGCTGCATATCTAGGGCAATAAAATTATTTTAGCCCTGTGCAATTATAATTTTCAGAAAATGCCATTTTCAAAATAAATCCTCAAATACCATCCCTTGGCTTATTATATCGGCAGTATGTCAAAAGTTAGTGCAACCAGTATAATTATCCAATCTCAAATAGAATGGATATAATTATTTCCTACTTTCACCTGATTTTAAACACTTTATGTTGATCAATATAGTTAGGTGATACTTCAATAATATTATGCCGATATTTTTATGCTCTTGCAATCTATTGCTACAGAGGCCTAGAATTAGTCGATATAGATATAGGGTTATGTATATATAAATGATCAGGATGATGAGACAAGTTAAAGTCGGGAAGACTGCCGGTCCGTCCGTCCGTGCAAGCTATAACTTGAGTAAAAATTGAGATATCTTGATGAAACTTTCTACCCATGTTCCTTGGCAAAAAAGTAAGGCAGAGGCCATCTAATAAGGCCGTAATAATCGAAAACCTATAAAACGTCATAACTAAAACAAAATAAAGAACTGTAATAGGATATTACATCTTGAGACCAGCTCGTCCGATTTCGACTGAATTTAGTATTTATACTGCAAGTTGAACATATCCAGAATTTTCCTAAAGACACATTGACATAATTTTAATTTACGTTTACATTTCCCGATTTACATCCAGAAATCATAAATAATCCACAAAATTATTTAACATTATTATTATTTTCTTTGTTTTCGCCCAATTACACACATTTTATTCACAAYGAATATCAATGTATGGGATATARAATTGAAATTCAGAGAGAATCAGAATTCAGAATTTCCTGACAATAGTATCTCTACGTATCAAAAATGGGTTGAATCGCGTCAATAATTCCCGATATGTGAATTATCTCAATGAAAATGAAAGAGCGTGTTTTACTCATGACAGTGTATATTTGTGGATAAAATGGATAAAATTGGGCGAAAACTTGAAAAAAGCCTCCTTATATAATATTCCTCTGACTTTACTCCATATGTATGTGGCATATAAATAGTTTGTAGTATTGGCGTAAATATATATTTATGAGTTATGGAGGTGGTATATATAATATATAAACATACACACATATATATAATTGCTTGGATTCCGATCCTCTGGTTCAGGGCTTGCACSTTAAGATTCTTGTAAGTTGCAAAAGTAGAAAATGTTCGATTGCAATTGAACTTTGTCCTTCCTTACATGTTATTGATGTTGACGTATGACTTCGTAGTTGAATTTTATGCATAAAATAATTGACATTGTATTTATTATGAAAATTCTTTACTTATTCTTCCAAATCGATTTCATCCCCTTCAAAGTAGTCCCCTCCCGATTCAATGCACTTATGCCAACGGATTTTCCAATCTTCGAAACACTGGTTGTAGTCACTTTCCGGGATGGCCTTCAGTTCCGTCTTCGCTGCGGCTTGAATATCGTATAAAAACGGTGTCCCCGGAGCGGTCTTTTGAGCTTGGTGAACAGCCAGAAGTCGCACGGCGTCAGATCAGGTGAATACGGTGGTTGCAGAACCATATGGGTTGAGTTTTTGGCGAAATGATCACGAATTATGAGGGCAGTATGGGATGGTGCATTATCGTGGTAAAAACCAAAAATTGTCTTTCCACAATTCCGGCCTTTTTGGGCGGATAGAGTTACGCAAACGGCGCATAACGTTCAAATAATATTCATTGTTGCCTGTTTGACCGGTTGGAAGGAATTCATAATGCACTACACCGCGATAATCGAAAAAAACAGTCAACATGACCTTGATTTTTGAGTGACTTTTTCGCGATTTTTTGGTCTCGGCTCTCTTTTGGCACGATATTCGCTCGATTGATCGGTTGTTTCGGGATCGTAAGCATAGATMCAAGTCTCATCGCCTGTTGTAATGCGTTTCACGACACTATGGTAGTCGGAAAGCATCGTTTCACACACTTCAACGCGACGCCTCTTTCCAAAAAATTCAATGTTTTCGGTACCAGTCAAGATTTGAAGCGCTTGATTCCCAAAACATCCTTAAATATGGTATTGGCTGAGCCTTTCGATATGCCAACTTCATCAGCAAGGTGTCTAATTGTTAATCGATGGTTTTTCAACACCAAATCTTTGATTTGCTGAACGTGAGCTTCGTCGGTTGAGGTTGATGGTTGCCCTGAACGCTCTTCGTCTTCGACACGTTCACGGCCGGCTTTGAACTCACTACAACACTTGTAACATTTTTTTTTAGACATAGCCTCATCACCAAAGGCTTTCTGCACCATCCTCAACGTATCCGTAGCAGAAAACGGATTCCGTAAACAAAAGTTAATGCAAATTCTTTGCTCAACAAATTTCGACATTGCAAAAAACGAAAACTCACTTTTAGCAGCTCACAAAACGACACGTATCTCAAACACTGATGAATATTTTGATATGAAATTKGACATAAATGTGACTGACAGTACTACCAACCTAAAAAAAAAATAATTCTTGAAATCCTTCGACGCGCGCAGTTTAAATTCAAATCTCACCTTATTTTTTGTATTAATTTCGGTTTCTGAGGCTAACTTTTTCTTATATACATACTTTAATGGCATGCATATACATATATCGTTTGAGTTAAATGAGTTGTTTTTACCAGAAATATTTAGTACACGAAATATATATTGAAATTAATATTATATTAACTATGTTATGTAAAATAGGATTGGAATTCATACAATGTTTCGCCGAATAGTTAATGTTGAATTTTTCTTAACATTTTTAACATAAACCTGAAGGTATTTCCCCTGCTTTGATTCTTGCAAAATTCGAGAGTAATATTCAGTTAAAGAATTGGGTTGGAAAATGCTTCATTCTCGATTTTATTTGACGAAGTTTTTCGAAAGCGCATTAATTAGCAGAAGGATTTGGGATATTTGGTAACATCATTCATATATTTATATTGGGTATGTTCCTAATAATATAYTTTTAAGGAAGTAGATTACTGCACGACACCCATTCGCCTAATACAAAAATGTGATGGTACAAAGCGTGATATATACATATATAGATTAATTTGTGTGAATGTCAAAATTTTTATTTTTCAAGCCCCGTTCCAAAACTTATAATTTAACTGCGAATTCTAAGCATATACATATATTAAATCAAATTGTAAATTCTTATTATAGAACTTTAGTTAGATTATATTATATGAAGAAAAAATAAATTTTCACTGCTACACAGTGTAAATAATTTGCAGTTGTAAAGTGAGTACTAAAGGTACAGGCGATTCAAAAAACAATAAATAGCATCGCAATGTTTTTTCCTCTCGGGCATATTAAAAAATCTCGATCAACCAGGAAACCAGTTTCTTATGCCACACAGACAAATTATTGCCTTTCTTCCCAAAAAGTAGACACATATTTTTTATTATATTATATTCTCATGTTTATTCATTCCGTACGGAATATTGAAAAGCGGTAGGCAGTTCAATGGTCAAGGATTTAAAGCGAAAATGCCGTTACCCTTCTGTACAACAAGCACAACTGGTTTTAATTTATCTAAACTTCTATTGTGTAGTAACACGGGTGCCAGTAATTGATGCTGGTCCAACTTTTGGTCCAGGTGTGCTCTGCCGTGCGCTAGCTGTGCATTAAACKTATGCATACTTTCACACCACCAAACATTTACCGTTCTCTATTAAGCATAAAGCAAAATCATTGAACTTTTATACAAATTCGTTGTGATCTGTTGTTTTGCTACGATAAACATGTATTTCAAGTTTCAAAGGCAAGGGAATATCAACTGTGTCTGCCTTATTGTCCATTGCCCATTGTCCTTGTGCGTATGTGTTAAACGTCCTTGCGTTTGTGYACTTTTTATGTGGCCGTCGTTCTATTGTCCCGAGCACTTTATAAGCCCAGGTTTTGCGCAGTTACGATCAGTTTCATTTCGATCTTCAAACACTCAACATCAGCCAACATCATAGTGGATTGGGTCGACGTGGCAGGATCACACAGATCCTGGCGTTGTATTGGAATATATTCGAGTGAATTTAACCCATCAACGTTGGCTAATGTGTTCCTGAACCAAGTGCTAAATTGCAATAACAAAAATTAGATACACGTTTATTAAATATTAAGTAACAGTTGAATACAAATTTAAATCTCAAAAATAATAATTAAAAACAAAAACTCAATAAAACGTGAAGAACATTTAAGCAAACAAAAAATAAACAGTTTACGGAAAATTTAACAATTAATAAATATATTGATCTACAAAGTTTTAAAAATAAACAGCAATAAGTATATAATTTTCAAGATGAATAATTGAACGAAAGTCAGTTCCAAGGGCAATGCTCCAGAATCAAATCATACTGTGTTCTAAAGAAAGTAAAAGAGAATTTAAATCTAATATACTATTTTTCCATTTACAGGTAAGAGCAGTAAAATAGTACAATACAATAATTACATAATTACGTCAGTGTTGATAGTTAATACAGAGTTTAATGCGCCATTTAAATTGCTTGAGAAGTCTTTTCGAAATCTTCTTGTGATTTATTTGTGATGCATACCATTAATAATGARGACTCTTTTGAAATTCTTCTTAAAAAGAGAAAAATATTATATTTTTCAACCAGTTTACATTTTCAATATTGAATATCCCGCTTTTCGCATTTTTTTTTTTTCTGTTGCTGCTCGCAATAACACGTTCTTACGTTTTATTTCCCAGGATCTCTTTAATTACCCAAAGGAGGGTACGCTAAACACGATCAATTGAAACTCAACAAAACATCTCAWCTTCGTTATATTAAAATTTCCAATTCTTCATACATACATCATACAAAATCTGTTTTGAGCATTTCCCATTAACTTTGAAGCATCGATGAAGAATTTGACTAACATTTGGTAGCAAAACGAAAGTAATATTTAGATACTCTCACTCGCGTCATATAAAGGCGAAGAAGTGTGCCTTTTTCGGGGAAATGCGCAGGAGAAAYGGCGGAGAACCAGATAAAATCCATGCAAAGATAAATTACTCCGTCCGTATACAACTACTACTGCAGTTCCATACAAACACGAGATGCTATCTTCCCCTGTAAAGGACACTCAAGAGAGCAGAGATAAAGGCATTACCACAGCTTGTAGGCAGATCTCTTCAACCCCATGCACAACAGTGGCAATACTTTTAAGAATCAACATCAACTCTCTCACCAACACAGCTTTCAATTCGAACAAAAGCCAACGAAACAAATGTTGTGCTTTGTAATATGGTTGAAATGCAATGCATAGATTTTGGATAGTTTTGGCTAGTGTTTTGGCTGTGACTAAATTGCTACCGGTTAATTCGCATTGCATATAAATATAACAGCGTGATGGATATAAATATTAACATAACACGGAAATCCAAAATTGAGGTGAGCTACCGTCATAATCACAATTTGTATTGTAACCAAAAAGTAAAAAAAGAAAAATGGCGCGAACCATACAAAAAGCCTGAGCGTTCAGAAAGTATCGGCGGAAACAGAACGCTTTCTACAGGGTAATCCACAGCGAATGTACTTTAAGCCATACACATACATAAATAATGTAGTTCAAGAAAAATTATTATTAGAAACCAAATACCAAAATATGTCCACACCAAAACAGTGCATTCAAGTTTTTCAAGGACATCCAAGAAGCTGCAGAAAAAATGAAATTTACCAAAAATTAACTTGCAATAGTTATGGTTTAAAAATATATTTTTATTTTGAGCATGTATGGTACTATTTATACGCAAAAAGTTAGTGAATCCTTTATTTACTCAAATTTGTTGTGGATATTTCCACCACTATTTCCTCTCCTCCAATATTACCACTACGCAGAAATTCGTTTGAAATAAAATGGCAGCCGCTTCTTAGATGTCATTGAAGAATGAAATAGACTGACAATCTAAACTAAAATGAAAAAATCCGAAGACTTGAAAAAAATTCTTTTAGCAATTTGCTAATATTGAAGTGATTGAACCAAAAGCGATCGAATTTTTTAATTTTAAGGTTTATGATATTCAAGAAATATGCAAAATGTTAAAAGAAATTTTTATACAAAGCCAAAAGCCCAAAATACGTCCTTAACACTTGACCTCTAAAAAAAAACTCTTTTTTTTATTTTATTCATTTTAATGACCGTATGCTGCTAAATATTTCACGATGTTCCAATTCTTATATTTCGCGCTCACTAAAATTTATAAGTTTGAAATGTTTAGTCATCTGCAAGATTAAGATGTGCGGATGTAGTCACTACAACTTTTGAAGTTGCCATTAAAAGCTGAAAGCGCTTCGATTAGATATTAACAATTTACATCGGATAAAATCATTTAATTGAAAATTTTCTTTTGAACAAATTTTAAATCAGCTAAATAACTAAAAAGTCTTATATTTTCTCTCCTTTTTCCATTATTCTTAAGCGAAAYTTTTAAATTAGATAGTCCTTTTGAAGTTATTTCAATTAAATRCAAAGAATTTGAATCCAAGCACTTTACGCTATATTAAGAACACCAAATCTTGTCAAAACTTCGCATTCAAAAAAAGAAAATTATTTACTTTAAAGTAAATCTTTTCAAAATTTAAAATTTCAAAATAACTTTTGAGCTTAAGTACAAAAATAATTAATTTAATTCAATTAAAATATTAATATAACTAAGATAAAAAAAACTTATTTTCGATGAAATAATTCAAAATTTTCAGATTTTATAATCAAGATTGATATTTGATCAAAAAATATTTCGTTCAATTTTAATAAATTAAATGCAAAATCTGTTTTTATATGAAATAAATTTAGTTAAGCAAAAACGGTGACTTTCGTTTTTCAAACAATTTTACTAAATTCAAATTTCGAAATTAACTATTTGCAAAATTTTGAGTTCTGTGAAAAGAAGTCGTAAAATTAATGATTTCATTATGATTTTTAAAAATAAATTTAATTTTTTAAAGTTTTGAATTTGCGGTAATCATATAATTTGATGGAGTTAGTTATTTTTAGACAAAAAAAAACACTTCGGCAGCTTACTAAAACCGCTTAAAATTAYTTTTATAGATCCTAAATCCTAAAGTAATATCAAATATAAATTATTATAAATTAACAAAATGCAAATGTTTTAATTCACAAATTAAAATACTTTTATAATTTTTATTAATAATAATATACTATATTTGATTATCTTACAAAAGTTTTAAGCCATTTAAGTTTCAAAAGTTTAGGAAAAATAATTTGTGATTTTGGAGGACTGACGTATATGTATGTACATATATATTACATACATGGACTTATGTACATGTATGTTTTAAAAGATAATAGCTAAATTAAAAAATATTTGAAATGAAAAACGGAATACAAAAAATTTACTCCTAATTATCCAAAAAATARTTCCATGTTTCTAAATTTTGAATCAGTAATTTATTAAAGAGCAAATGATAGCACATAACGTCATAAAGAAAGCAATATACATATGTATTTATGTAAGAAACTTAAAATTTAATAATTTAAACATTTACTTTTAGACTTTTCCAAATTCATCGATCTAAGCGGCTACGCATTTATCTTTGGCATTTTTGACGATGTGAATAACAAGAAAAAAAGATTTAAAATTCAATAAATCAAAGCACGAATATGTGTAAACGTAGCGTCTTCGAGTATATCTTACCCAAAGAAACAAAAAACACATTTTGATTGCTAATTTAACTCTTAATTAATTATTCGAAGCAACATTGTTTCCATCTGACGAAAAATAAAAATAAATTCCTTTAAATAAATTTTAATTAAACTGAAAAAAAGCAACTCTGTGAGAAAACAAAATTGACGCTCTTACAAAAATTTAAATTCTCGCATACTCGAATATCMAAATTGTAGAAAATATTTGTATGCAACAATGACTACCAGCAGCGACCTATAAAACAAAATTAAAGTGACAATAAAGAGCACATTATTATACATATTAACAGAGTCATAAATTACCCTATGCGGCAGAACGGAAGTCGTTATGCGACAAACGCAAGAAAWTTTCAAATTCATACTCCTCTAGCATTAGTCAACTACAAAGCTCATTACAACTCCCCGGAAAACGCAATAAAAAATCCACTTTGGCAAGCAACTCGGCTCAACAAGGCAAAGTCATCTTAAAATAGCAGCAAACAAAACAAAATTCTAAATAAGAAAACACTTTATTTAGCAGTAAATTCAAGTTCTTAAACCAGTTAAATTTTCTAATGGAAATATGGTAGACACTGCTATTCAAAATGGTTGTGAAAGTGCGAGATATTGACTGATAAGTCCAGAAAAAATATCTTTTGAAAGACTAACAGAGTGGTTAAACATTATACAATATCTAAAGAAAGTAATTGAATCAAATCTCTAAAACTACCATATTGGGCGATAGTCAATCAACCGAAGACAAGCAGCACTGAAATCTAAAAATGTCAAAAACTGAAAGTCTCATTCAATTACTTAACCAAGCGGATAAACAAARAGCTCGTTCATTCGACTGAACCTTCAAAACAAACAAAAAAAACGTTCAAATTCGTATCAAACTCAACTCCTGAATTACATCAAAAACGATGACTACCGCATCTCTACAAAATTTGTATCCTTCGTCATAATATTAAAATCATTCAAAAAGAAAATTCAACTTTGGCAACGTTCTTAAATTGTGGTCAAATTTCTTGAAGAAAATCTGTAAATCTGGATTAATATACGGGCATTTGTTTTACTCACAAATCATCACACATATGCGGAAGTTAATAGCATAGCATAAAAAATATCAAAAACTACAACATCAAAAACAAATTGAACTCGAGCAATTCCATAAGTGTGGAAACAAAAGCGTAGTTGTGGCAAAAGAACCCTCAGAAAAATATTTACGACGAACTTTCATCAAATAAATAAACAAGAATAAAACAACGCACGCCGCAGATTGAAATCAGGTTCACCGTCAGACTGGCAGTCAAGCGGTTTTTATGCAATCTTTCAGAACCAAATACTTACAAACGAACACACAAGCACATACATACATTACATATCTCAACATCATCGACAACATCAAATTTGCTATTGAGCAACAATCCAAAAATAGCAATGTGTATCAGCTTCGACAGCATAAGCTACAAAATCACACAGAGCAGCATTTAAACTTTCCATAATAAATTTATGAACCAGCAGCAGTCGCAGTAATTGCTATCAATAAAATATAAACCCCAAAAAACGTTCAAACTCACACTAAGGCCATGCGCAGTCTTTAGCCAACAAGCCAACAGCAGCCCAACCTCATTCACAAGGCACTCTATCTTGCTATCGTATTCAACTATTCCACCCCCCAATCACTGCCAACCCGCCCATTTGGCCAAGCTAATGACATGAGGCCGCTGCAAATGAAATTACAATACATATATCTATTGAACATGGCAGACAGCAACCAAAGAAACCATCAGCAAGACCGCGACAAAACTAAAGGATGCGATTGCAAAGACAGCGTTTGAAGAATAAGAAAATATTAAATTTATAGCGAAATTGCTCTCAAATTTACTTGCTGCATATACCGACAATTACATGTTCTCGATCAACGGCAACAAATTTGGTGAAACGCATAATGGTTTCATCTCAACCTAACCAAATGATATACTATAAACACACATGTACATAGGTATATACAAAAATTCATATATATTTCTCGCCAAAATCTAACTGTAAAATGACGACATATACGTATTTTTATGAAAATTCGCCAAGCTAACGAAACTCGTTTTGATATCGATTTTTAGGAACGCAGGTACTAAAGAGATTTTCCTCCGCAACACACGTATTCAAACATGCATTAATATTTCTTAGCGATTACGTTTTCATTTTATACAGTTTCTTTAAAGTTTTGACTAATTCATAGGCAAAAGCGGATGGGGATCGAAATTGTTATTATGAGTAAATTCAATTCAGTCCAGTTCAGAAGAGCTTCACTATTTCGGTAGTTTACCACTAAATCATCATTGTACACACAAATGTTTTGATATTCTCTGGCACTAACAAATACTGTGTGACTCACTTTCGAAATTTCTTCGGCGTCAATGATTTTCAAAATATGTAGTTGGGATCTGTCCAGAGAGATTGCCTTGCGAAATCAAATACTATTTGATTGTGCGGTAAAGAATCATCAGGGGGGATACCCAGTGTAATTGCTTTAAATACGCAAGGAACGAAAAAGAGCTTTGTGCCCACGTGCCAAAAAGCGAAATGCATACACTCATATATATGTAGGTATGTACATATGTAAGCAATGGAAAAGTAAATAATCGAAAAATTATTGAGGCAGCTAAAATGAAATAAATTAAAGACACTACTAATATTTTAGAGATTCGAACAAATTTCGAAAACAACTTGATCTTTTTATGTATGATTAATATTTTGAGTGGTAAAGCGAACAACAAGTTTTGAGTGTTCAGCTTATAAGGAAACTACAGAAAAAACAAATTCAAAAGAAATAGTCAAAGAAACAAAAAAACACAATGGCTACAATTAAATTGTTATAACAACTAAGACACAACATGGTTACGAAAGAAAACTTACAAGGGCTAATCGCAAACATTATCGAATGAAAAAATATAATGTAACTACACTCTGTATCCCCTCAATTGTGGACACATTTTGTTGTCGCCAAAACACGAGTAAAATGAAGGCAAAAATGTCCTTAAGTTCTTGAACGTTTACTGAAAACAGCCAAAATCGATGACCTTTCGAATCATCAAAAGTCAAGCTGGTCATGCAAGTGATTTAACTGTAATAATGATAACTTGTATGCAGCGCTAAAATTGTGAATGCCAATCCTTTTGTCTAAAATGTTCTCTTCTTATCACTTTTGTATTCGCAAACATTTTAGATGAGACGATTGTTGCATTATTTACAAATATTCCTTATTTTCAACCCGTAAACAAAATTGTATAGTTGTTAGTAACAACCGATAAAATGTCATTTAATCTCTTTGATAGATCTAGAATTTCCGGTATTGGTACATACATATGTATATAGATATTCACTGCATGGTAATTCAAATATGAGTAAAGAAGTATTCAAAAATTGTTAACCCTCAAATATAAAATAGATTAATGTAACTGTAAAACTATGCTGTTCTAATCTAAATCTATATCTAAATCGAATAATAATATACAATTGTACAACTCAATTTGCTCCTAATAAAATAAACAAACTCAACTCAACTCAAACATTATGCGTTTAATTTAGTTTCATTTTGGAGATGGTGATATGTATAATCATACTTAATTCATATGCTAAAAACAGTTCAAGGTCCTCTCATCTGCATCTTAAATGACGAAAATAAGAACTGTACTAATTTTAGCCATTACTTTGAAGCTAATATGATAAGGCGGTAACAATAAGAACATAAACTCGCATATTTTTTGTAATTCTTCCCAGAATTCGAATACTCTTATGCTAGAGAAGCCACAGAAATATGGTGAAATTAAACAAGTAAGAAGCGGCTAACCCCGGGCAATTCCTTCAGCTGCTGGCAAAACTTTATCTTATATTGGGTGCAGAGAAAAGAGGCTGTTGCAGTAATTTGGAAACTGCTGAAGTATACTTGAGAACGATTCATGGAATTTATTAAATATATAACACATACACTGAACGACATTTTCATCATAAAACTTGGTTAAACAAGTAAGTAAGTAAGCTCGGGTGTAACCAAACAGGAGATTTAAGCAACTTGTAAGGATCTTCTTCTTCTTCTCTTCTTGATTGGCGTAGWCACCGCTTACGCGATTATAGCCGAGTTAACAACAGCGCGCCAGTCGTTTCTTCTTTTCGCTACGTGGCGCCAATTAGATATTCCAAGTGAAGCCAGGTCCTTCTCCACTTGGTCCTTCCAACGGAGTGGAGGTCTTCCTCTTCCTCTGCTTCCCCCGGCGGGTACTGCGTCGAATACTTTCAGAGCTGGAGCGTTTTCGTCCATCCGGACAACATGACCTAGCCAGCGTAGCCGCTGTCTTTTAATTCGCTGAACTATGTCAATGTCGTCGTATATCTCGTACAGCTCATCGTTCCATCGAATGCGATATTCGCCGTGGCCAACGCGCAAAGGACCATAAATCTTTCGCAGAACTTTTCGCTCGAAAACTCGCAACGTCGACTCATCAGTTGTTGTCATCGTCCAAGCCTCTGCACCATATAGCAGGACGGGTATTATGAGTGGCCATAGTCGTCATCAAAAGTGGGGTCTCTCATCCGAGGCTGTTGTTGCGTTGTCATTGGGGAGGTTTTTTTACGTGGCGGGTCCCAAACCCAGCGCACAACCCTATGCAGGGAATGTTTCGCCTTCTCACTTTAGCTCACCTTCAAACGGATATTCTTAGGCTACCCAGAGGATACTTGGTCAAGGACCGGAAGTCGTGAGCTGCTTGAGTCATATGTAAAAGAATCGTTTCTGGCCACTCCCAAGTGAATAGCGATCAGAAAACTTTCCTCACTTGCGTGAACTTCTACACATGATTCCATCCTCCGACTTGTAAGGATCAAAGCCGGATAAATAGGATACAAGTCAGTTTTGACACAAAGCCATACTATTTTCAATTAATTGTGTTAGGTAGGCAGTTGGCGCGCTTATTTCCTTCATTTTCGCGCTGTAAGATAGGATTGTCAGAAGAATGTTATATACCGAATTTGAAATCGATCGAACAGGTCCCGATAAATCTGACGCGTTTAGTGATTAATTTATCGCACTTTAAGCAGTTTTTAAGAAAAATATATCCCTGTACGGGCAGACCGAAAGACAATCGCCCGAATTTCATACAAATAACCTTCAGATAAACAAAACTATTAGCAACATGCTGCAAGAGTATAATAATATTTAATAGTAATTTCAAATATTATATATATATTTGGTTTTTTGGAAAGGGGTACCAACCACTTTGCTAGTTAAAAGTTCAGCATCAGTCATGAAATACTTTCAGGTGTTGGCAAAACTAAAACAAGATCCCGATCGCTTTCATTCATATTCAGCGCTAAGTCACATTAATATAACATTAAAAGTTTAACGTCAAACTTTACAATAATCACTATAACGGGTATATTGGGGCTAGAGGAAAACCTGTACTGATTGTGTAAATATTCTAGCACATGTTCGTATGCAATTTTATGAATATATTTTTTATTTAATTTTATTTATTAAATATAACTCACGCGGCATTAGATTTTAATGTTTTGGATACAATCAGATCGCTGCGAAGTTTTTGCCAAAAATGATCACTTTTGACCAAAATCATAACTGGTGACGAATCATTGGCTTATGGTTCTGAAATGGAAACCAAAGCCCAATTATCCCCATTGAAGTTATCGCATGAGCTAAGAACGTTGTGCATCAAGAGCTCTTGCGAAAGAGCCGTACGGTCAATAAAAGATATTACCTGGAAGTTATACGAAATTTGCGTCACACAGTCCGCCAGAATCGTCCGGATTTGTCAAAGAAAAAAATTGGATGTTGCATCTTGATCACGTCCTTGCTGGTGCGCGAAAATTTGCCCAAAAACAAACATTAATCATGCCGTCAACACCACATTCCCCAGGCATGGTTCCCTGTAATTTGTTTGTTCCCAAAACTGAAGAGTCCTTTGAAAGGACTGCGCTACGATTGAGGAGATTCAAACTACATCGGAGGAGTAGCTAAACAAGATCACAAATTTTTTTCGAAACTCTTCATTTAAAAAATCTGAAATTCAATTCACCGGCTTTTATAAAGTCCTCTTCCCAAGAGTAAAATTTGATGTCGCTGGCGTATTTATTTGTTGATTTATCGCGCTTTTAGTAGTTTCTAACAGTACCGTTATCCGCGTGGAGTACACGGGTAATCATTCGGATTCTTCAATTTTCGCAGCGTCAGATGATTAAACGATTTGTACTGAGCGAATTAGGATATTGCATTTTAACTGCTTTAGAAGAAATACACATTAAACATCGTAAAAGCCGGAACCACGATCTTTTTTTATAATTTTAAACCTACAGGTGTCTTTTATTGAAGCAATCCCCTATATTTAATTACAGTTTAATATCTTAATTTAGTGCTTAGTTATGGCATTTTAAAGATTTTCGAACTCCTCCTCACCTTTTTCACCAGGAAGACGTGTACCAAGCTTTGTAATGATGTCTTGATTCTTACACAAGTTATTGCTTGCACAGACGRACGGACGGATGACCAGACAGTCACAAGAATTTCAACTCGATTCATTATCCTGATCATTCATGTATATACACATGTGGCAACACTCACATTAAACATATATTTCAATTTATTTAATTCACGCACTCACAAGTTAACACTAAATGCATTTATATTAGTACAGTGAAACGTCTACTTGCAGACACATGCAATAAAAGGACAAAAACTCAGGAACCAAGTTTTACTTTTATTTTCATTGCCTATCGTAAGCGGACGAGGAACCCTCGATAACGGACAAGATACTTGAATTGCTGAACGAAAGTGTAAAGAAAACAGTAAAAACCTCTGATAAACGGAGGTGTAACTTTTACTTTGCGGACAACGAAGACCAATAATTGAAATAAATGTATAGTAACTAAACTGAACAGCCGAAATCTAAGTATATACGAGTTRTATGTGTACATACTCGGACACACACCATATGTAAAATTGTGAGGTCAAGTATTAGTATGTGAAGGTGTAAGGGGTTTTATTTGTAACAATTTGTAGCTAATAACACGAAAAAATCAAAATTTATGATTCATGCGAATTGTCGCAAAACGTTCAGTTGTTATATCAAAGAAAAAATGGAAATTTTAAATGTGTTGGAGAAAGAAATTTTATCTGTTCGTGCACTCGGAAAAAGTAGTGCTTTATAAAAAGCGGTTTTCCCAAGTAAACAGGACCTTTTGAATCTAGCGCCCCCTGGTGGCGCCATCTATATGTCGACTGGTCTGCTATCTTTGTCGATTGGCCAGTGAGAATTTCATGACATTGCATTGATTGGAAGTGAAGTTATTGCGTTTTAAGTGTCAGTATGTTTGTGTATTGGTGCGAAAATGTACTTCGAACAAAGAGCCAACATTAAATTTTGTTTTAAAATTGGTAAAACTTTTACCGCAACGTTTCAATTAATGAAACAAGATAATGGTAATGATTGCCTATTCAGTAGCAGAGTGCACGAGTGGTTTCAACATTTTCAAAGTGGTCTTGGGAACATAAATGACGATCAACATGTGGGCCAATCAAAATACGTGACCACCGGAAATTCCATCGAAACTGTGTGTGAATTCGTCAAAAATCAGCCGAAATCATCATTGAAATTCTTAAAAATGGAATTGAGCTTTTCCACAAAAGATCGATGTATCGCATTTTGACCGAACATTTGGGCTTACGAAAGGAGTGTGCACGGTTTTTTCCACACAAATTGACTGACGACCAAAAATTGCTCAGAATCCAACATTCGAAGGAAGATTATTTGATCAAAAGTCACATTTTAACCATTACCCACTCCCCGTATTGACCTGATATGTTACCGTGCGATTTCTTTCTTTTCGGAAAAACTCACTTGCCCTTGAAAGGAAATAAGCGTTATGCAGACGTAGAAGCTAAAACTCATTCAACATGCTTTTAGACCGTGCAAAAAGCTGTATTGAAGCAGAAGGAGACTATTTTGAATAGATTGATTTTGCCGAAAAAAACATTTGTTGTTTTTTTTAAGTCCTGTTTAGTTTGGAACGCACCTTGTATTTACAACTTTTGTGGTGAAAATATCTGAGTTAAGTGAACTTTTAAGATA